TGGAGGCCGTTCATGAACTCACTGTCTGCCCTGTCATGACTATGGTGGCCGTTTTTGAACTCGCTGTCTGTCCTGCCACGGCCAAGGAGGCCGTTCATGAACTCACTATCTGTCCTGTCATGGCCACGTAGGCCGTTCATGAACTCACTGTCTGCCCTGTCATCACTAAGAAGGCTGTCCATGAATTCACTGCCTGTCCTGTTATGGCCATGGAGGCCGTTCATGAACTCACCGTCTGTCCTGCCACGGCCATGCATTCAAGACCTCTCTGCTTGTTCGGTCACAGGCAAGTGGTCTGTCCATGTCTCTGCACCGCCATGGCTTCCTGCTCTGCCGTCATCACCCGGCCGCCCTGCTCTGCCTGCACTGCCATGGCTGCCTGCTCCACCATGGCTCCCCGATCGGCTTGCTCCGCCATGGCTCCCCGATCTGCCCGCTCCGCCATGGCCCCCCGATCTGCCCGCTCCGCCATGGCCCCCCGATCTGCCCGCTCCGCCATGGCTCCCCGCTCTGCCATGGCTCCCCTCTCTGCCTGTTCCTCTTCACGGGCCTGGCCCTCCATCCTGCCCCCTGGACCACCTCCAGTCCTCCACCCTCCTGGACGTTGTGTTGGTTGGGGTGGATGTTACATTAGGGCGTCAGGAGCTGCCCTTAGAGGGGGGGATATGTAATGTGATTGAATGTATTTAACCCACTGTTGGTGAGTCAAGTCTGTGTTTCTTGTTTGAATATCACCTGTAAATAATCTGCACTTGGGTTCTCACTTGCGCTCGCCTTCAGTGGATGATTTGTTACAAAAATTGAATGCTATACATTTATTTAAAAAGCGATCAAGACATTATCTTCACAGGTGTAAGTGTCAGCCATAATTTAATCCAGCAATAAATTAAAAGAGAGTTGGTTATGTACCAACACACTGCAAAATTAAGTTGATCAGAATTCAGCTTTTTTTTGGTTCATTAGATGGTTAGATGGTCCTAATCTGTCTTTTTACATTATCTAAATAATAGTGCAAATCTCAAATACAATGCAGGACATAAAAAAAATCTTAGCTAATACACAGGTAAGCCCAAAACCATAATCTCACACAAATGCTCTCTTATACAAACATCAACACACCCACATAACTCTCAGTTCACTTACGAATGGGGTCTGCACTGCAGCATTATTACAAAGGTTAAAACTTATGTACAGTGGTGTTATATTTAACAACTTATTATTATAAGTTATTTTGCTCCTTAAACTACCCTCACATAACTACGTACTGAATTGGAGTAGGCTATTTATTTATCAGCAATATAATCTGCTCATTACTGAATTACTAGTGTTGAATGTAATCATCTTATCACTGATATTTTTTAATTTAATAAAGTTCTGGATTTTGTGCTTAGTGTTAAAGCTACTATATGCATTACCGTTTAGCCACATTTTTCTTCTAAAAAAAAGTGTTTTTCTTTTTTTCCATAAAAAATGGGGAACTAGAGAAAAAAGGTACAGGGGTGGTACCCTTTCAAAATGTACACTTTAGGTACTCATATATACCTTTAAAGTACTCATTTGTACAATTTAGGGGTAAGGTACAAAGATAGCTTTTGTACCTCAGGATACTGCCCCAGTGACATACCTATCTGGGATCTCACCACACTAATCCAGCATGTGTTGTGATACTTTCTTGAATGCGTGGAGGCAACACGAAAGAGAAGAAATTGTGTATCCCTTTAAGAAAATGACCCATTGCTGACTGTACTATGGTGGAGAACATGTGAGTAACTTAATTGTAGTTATTACGGTTGATATATGTGACCCTGGACCACAAAACCAGTCTTAAGTCGCTGGGGTATATTTTTAGCAATAGCCAAAAATACATTGTATGGGTCAAAATTATTGAATTTTCTTTTATGCCAAAAATCATTAGGATATCAAGTAAAGATCATGTTCCATTAAGATATTTTGTAAATTTCCTACTGTAAATATATAAAAACATATGTTTTGATTAGTAATATGCATTGCTAAGAACTTCATTTGGACAACATTAAAGGCGATTTTCTCAATATTTAGATTTTTTTGCACCCTCAGATTCCAGATTTTCAAATAGTTGTATCTCGGTATCTCTTATTTATTCAGCTTTCAGATGATATATAAATTTAAATTTCGAAACAGTTTTGTGGTCCAGGGTCACATTTATTTTACATCAGTCCAGCATGAAGGTGTCGACCTTCTGATACATTGAAATGGCACTGTGAGGTGCGATTGTGTAACCTCTTGAATTAGGGGATTTTGGCCTCCCTAGCCCCTCAACCACTGGTCATGGCATTAGTTGTGTCTCTGATTGTGGTTTTATCTCTGGCTGCAGTGTGGACAACATGGGAAACCTGCAGATCAGGCTTCAATGGACCTTCTGGATTAGAAGATCCCTAACACCCCTAATCAACATACCCTACCTAATTCAGGTATATGGACACGTATTTTGGATGTAACTTACAGCATCTAGTTTTGATTTTACCAATACAAGTTAAGAAAATAATTAGAGAGGAAGGTAAAGAGCGGGTCAAACACGCAGAGATCATTTTCAAGAGACAAACCCCTCCGCCCTTAGAGCAGATCTGTGCCAGCGAAGCTTTAATGGATCCACTAAACGCTGAGCTCGGAGCATCTGGCCAGTTTTAGGCAGCTCATTATTCAGAAATCAATAGTGTAGAAGAAAGAAAAATCTACAGGTTTTATCAGCCAACCTTATATCCGCTTGTTTTCAGAAGAAGCAGAATTTCCAATAAGGGAAAAAAAAAA